GTGGGGCTTCTGCCGCGCAAAGATGGTGAACGCGCGTAGCCTACCCACTAAATAACCTGACAAAGCACCCCCTTCGCCTTAAGGCCGGGGCCACGGGTACCAAAAAGACTCTTCCGTGAAGATAAATTATGACCTGAACGAAGTGAGGGTATGTAGCTAGTATTTCATTAATGGACAATTTGGAATATATGATGTAGGAGTAAAAACATAGAGTCTCATTTCCTAACACATAAGATAATACTAGAATATTAGTGACCAATTATTATCTAATTACACAAAACATTGTTTGTTTATCATACCCTTCAGGTTTTGCAAACAATACCTATTAGTGCTCTCTAAACAACCTTAGCTTAGAACAAACACTATTCAATACATATAATATACTAACGACTCACCCTGGCTTTGCTCGGGGTCGCCCCTAGGTATGTTTAACGGTTAATATGAAATAGATATATGTTATGTATTATATAATTATATAATAGGATGTAGCCTTCCTCAATAAAAAAGCTATCTAACGCAAAAATAATTTTCAAATCGGATTAATAGTTCTTGAGAAACAAACAAACTGCCTCTTTATAATATTAGTATAGACGTAAAACACGATTTGAGAGAATCGATGTAATATTACGTAATATATACAAAGTGAACAAGAGTTTACTTAGAAGTATGAAGACTAAAATAAATAGAGACATCAGAAATAGAAAGAAAGTTAATGGCATTGTTATTTATGAAAAAGGAATAAAACATGCTATACTTTTGTCAGAAATATAAAAAGAATCCTTAAAGACACTTCTTTTGTTTCGGCTGTCATTCACATATGTGTATATATATATATATGTTGGGTGGTTCCAAAAATCTTATTCAATAACTAGCGGCTCAACCTCGCTCTGCTTGAGTTCACCTAGGTACGTTTTAACGGTTAATATACCTAGACTTTTCTGAGATGAGATATTTTCCCGCACTAAACAATATCCTAAATGTTGACCCGGATAACCAGCTATCATCATACTAAATTCCATCAAAATCCCTTCAATCGTTTTTTCGTGATGGTTTCCCAGACAGACAGACAAGAATTCTAAAAATTATAGAGTCGGCCTCTGAATCGATAATAATGATTATTTCAATAACATTTTCTAAAAAAAATTAATGTACAGATTTGAATCGGTTAGAAGTTTAATATATGTATAGATTACTATTTCTCTATAGGAGATAGACGCTAGTAGTATCAATTAGTTATAAATCAGTTATTAAATTATAGCACTTACTCGTATAAAGAGATGCTAAAGTGTATAATTTTCTACGGTATCCATTATATTAGTGTCAATTAGAGTATTCGAGAAATACAAATATTTTTTAGTAGGTTGGGAAATTGATTCACAGGGTTCGAAAACTTGTTTATAATTTCATTGTACAAAACAAATTAAGTTATTTTTTTTTTGGAATACTAGTTTTGCCTAAAAGTTACAAACTATAAATTAGACAACATTGTAGAGATATAATCTATTGGATTAATAAGAATATTTAATTTATTTAACATTCTTCATTGCTTACGAGATAGTATTACTTCAAAATTTATAGTTTTATTTTGACATAATAAGTTAAACAATTGTTTTGAAATAAGTGAAAATAACTTCGTAAAACAATAAGTATTATTCTTTTTAAGCCCCAGTTAAAATACTCGAACTTGGCGCTAGCGTCTGACAATTTCTAATGGGACTCTGTAGGGTTGCGCGCTCAGTAGTCGTCGCGACGCCGGTGCGGACGGACGTGCCGCTCCATGTGAAGTGCAGTGATCACGACGAGTGGTGTTCAGTGCCTGTGGCTGTAATTGTGTAACGTGTTCTATACATTTTAGAAAAAAAAACAATATATCGACTCCAAATGTGAATGTGGCGAGAGGATATTTATTAAAAATTGTAAGTGTTGATGTGATGTCGAAATGTTTTCTTTTAATATTTTTAGCTGAAATATTTCTTGAATGCTGAATATAGAGCTGTTATTGGATTAGACAACATAATTATTATCTTTGAGAAATATAAAAACATTTGTCCCACATTGGGTGCCAAATATATGTCATATAGAATAAATATTATACGTATATAAAAATACACTCGAGGCTTTCTAAATCTAGAGTCATTATATATGAGATAGAGATATATGAGATAAAAAATGAAATGTAAATTCTTTAATTTCTTTAATTCTGTAATTTCTTTTCTGTCACAATTACAAAATTATAGACTAGATAGAAGACTAAATAGTACACATACATGTTTCTAATATTTACATATCGCTCATATTTTACTAATATATTTCTTACTTAATAACATATACATATATCTTAAAAGATATTTATGTAACATAAGCCTTAGAGTTTAACTAATATTATAATGTAGGTATTTGGGCAATTTATTAGAAGGACGCTTAGTAGCATCCCTAGGGCTGGCCGCGATTTATACAGATATTTAGCATCCAAATTATATTAGAATGCTAAACACGTGAAACCTTTGATGTTATCAAAGAATTTGCTTTTAGAATTTTCGAATTATCTACCCGTTATTGTTCCCATTTACCAACAAACTTTTAATATTCTAAATCATGTAAATCCTTAGAGTACAGAGTTAAGGGTTAAATAAGACTTAAAATGTAGAGTACGTAATGGTAATATGATTCTCGATTATAATTTAAACTTTGTAGAGCGATGATAGAAATAAATTGATGTTAACGTCAGACATAGTCTGAGTAATATTTGAATATAGCAAATAAGTAACTATTAAAAATGCGTAGCGTATAAAATTATAATAAATTTCTAAAAATAGAATCGCGTTATTAAAACCTTTCATCTTTTTATCAATGCATACAAAATTACTTTCCACTCTCCTGAAAGAATGTAATTTTTAAGGAGAAAACTTTGCCCCAGAGCAAGATTCGCGAATCATGGCACCGCTTCGTTGATTGCTTTTGAATCTGACTTGGTGCAAACTTGAATGTCGATAATTTCCCCATTGATATTACCTCGAAGGATCAAAACTTAAAAACGACCCCAACGTTTAAAAGCTAAAAGTTCTGTTATGAGAAAAGTACGACTCGCCAACTTATTGTTTCGCCGGAAGATCTATTTAAAACTTAGTTAATATAACAGTTTAACGGTACTTTGTTTTTTGAAGTTTTCAATGAGACGTGTATAAAGTTTGCTTTAATATATACTGGAAATAAATGTTAGCGTACACTTTCGTGACGGGGCTAACGGATATCAAAGTAGAGTCTGTTTATGTAGATCTCCTCCGATATTCTTAATTTATTATGCCATTTTGCACCCACCAAAAATATTTTTTAATTCAGGAATGGAATTTAAAATCAATACATTTAATGGCGGTTATACGAACACGGATAATAAACAGGCTACTAGGTCCAGTAAATTTGCCTGGAGATGATGTACTCATCCGGATATGCTACATCATATTATTATAAGATAAGGCCTACGAGTATTTATATTTATAGTTTCAATGTATAGTTAAAAATTAAAATACTATTAATATATTGTCTAACAAAAAATCAATTACGAGAAAAAAGTTACGTGATGATTTTTGGTTCCTGACGTTTCGAATGCTTTACAGAAATCATGGTGAAAGCATTCGAAAACAAAGGCAGTGGTAGCCTAATAGGTATCGCGCTTGCTTGGGAAACCAAGTGAAGTGAGTTCAAATCCCGGTCTCGCACCTCTGATATTTTCATGTGCGAATCATTTCCAACGTGATTACCACTTGTCTTAACGGTGAAAGAAAATATCGTGAGGAAACCTGCATGTCTGAGAGAACCTAGCAAGTTTTCAAAGACATGTGTAGTCCGCCAACCCGCACTTGGGCAGCATGGTGGACTATGGCCTGATCCCCATCGTACTGAAGGGAAGCCCGTGCCCAGCAGTGGGATGTTAAAAAAGGGCTGAATACAATCATGGTCACGGGAGAGACTGGGGTATTAGACATCTCAATGTTCATTATATAGTTGTTACAGAAAGTGCCTACATTGCATTAGATATATCTATAATAATATCACGTTATGCGAATTTCTTTACAAATGCATAATAATTTAATTTATTAATATAATTTATTATAAAGCTTGCATTAATCGCTTAGTTATAGCAACGATTATAATTTACTATGGGCTCTACCGTCTCGTAAAGTTCGCGGGCTTTTTTCTTGCCTGGAGGAAATGTAGTTGTTCAACAGTGATTAACTCTCGCTTCGTTGTTGATCTACTAATATGGTTTTACCGGAATTATGATTAACATTTTCTCGGGATAAAAAGTTTGTGTTACACAAATAATTCCTTTATCCATCAGCGAAAGTTTCATTAAGATCGATAGTTTCTTAGATTATAATCAGTAAAAATAACAAGTCAACTAAAGATTTTGATGTTCATTTGGAATTTAGTTCCATGCTTATTATGGAATAGCTATAATAAAATAAAAGGTAGATATTCTGTTCTATAAAAGTATAAACATTTTTAAAACGTGTTTGTTTGTGTTACGTCAAAACTTTAGTAGTTGTAGGAGATATGAAACAATGCACCATAAAAATTAAAAGTACTATGGTAATGGTATATTTTTATTTTTTATTAATGTCAGTGAAAGAAGGCATTTACAGATTAATCAAGAGTTTACAGATACTTCTGAGTATTTCAGTAATATTTTCAATTCATACAAAGTTGTATAATGATATTTTCCTTAAAATACATTTTATATACTGCATTCGACTTATTATATTGTTCAAGCTAGTTTTAATTTTTTTTTACATACAATATTATCTGAATGTATAGGCTATACAGAAAATTAAGATTCGATCCTTACATTTTGTTTTTCTCATAAAATAAAATAATCCTAGTTTGCTAACTGTGCCTTTTTTAATATCTAACTTCTAGCTATTTTAAGAATTGCTTTTTGTTAACCTTAAATAAAACATTCAATACCATTATTATAATCATTTAACTCTTTCGAAGATTTATAAAACACCATCGTCGTTTTCTATTTTTGCAGGCTCCGTACCAACATATCCCAGTCCATATGGAGCATTTGAGTTTGTTCTCAAATAAAATCTACCTTTTGCTCTGAAAATAACATTAACTTTATCATGTTTTATGTAGATAAGTTGATTATTAAAAGGTAAAGCTATATTTTTTTATAAATTGATCAAAAAAGTAGTACAAATCACATAATTTACTGCACAAAAAATCTGATTCTTTGAAAATAAATCAATAACAAATTGGAAAAATTCGCATCACTAACAAAATCATCCGGAAAATATACTCTTGGGATATGTTCTCTCTCTCCCTCTATATATATAATTCACAAATTTATTTAAATAGTAAATAATATATTATCTTATATAAATCATCTCCCTTCTCAATCGCTTGGGGTCAGCGCAGTACATCTTCCATACTGATGATAGGATTTGGCAAAAGTTTTACGACCGGCCACCTGCCTGACATCAACACTCCTTGGGAATATATTATCTTATCTTATAGAAACAATCACATTTTTTCATTTTTATTCTATAAAGGTTGTATAATGACATCTTGCGTTTACCCTCTTGGCTGTTATTAAAGTACTTACAAGTATATTCACTTACGTTCTATTAACGTCATCTCCCATGTAAATGATTTCGTCAGTTCTTTCCCCTGCCTTCCAGCTGCAACAACTTGCAGCTTTTCTTGCGGGAAAAGAAAAGGGTTCTTCTAAAGATTCTGAGAAGTATTGCCATACACGATTGTGACTGCAGCTATCTGAAAAGTTGATTAAATTTTTATGAGTGAAATATACGTATACTATTGTACTGCATAGCAAAGTTGATATATTGTATTAAAAAATTCAAAGGAACATATAAAGTATCAAAGATTTAATTTTTTTTTGTAAAGGGTATTTATGGTTAATTTATTGTATTTGCTATTTAATTAGTGACCTTAATATTCAGGCTATAATTTATTCCTTAAAAAAATATCTAATTAAGCGCAACTCGAAAATATGAATTATTTAATCTGAAAATTTACTTCTTGTGGGCTTCAATATGTCAGCGCTGTTGTTTTCGCAGCCTGGCTGCACAAATTGACCGCAGTTCGGCCATATGTCAACGGTACCTAAATTTTCAGTCGTACCCAACCCCCCAGGATTAGCGTGTATGACGTCTACGAAAGAGGCGGTGGAAGAGTCCAAGCCAGATAATTGCATTAGACCATTGTAGAGAGGACCAGCCGGGTCTAAACCTGTAATTCTATCGTTTAAAGTGTTAAAAATTGATTCATTTATGCAAATTTTTAAGTTTTTTCTTGCTAGAAATAATTAACTTCGATATGAGTTACTTCATAAAAAGACATATTTTATAAAAGAAAATAAAACATGTCCTGACCAATTTTGGCCACGGCGGCCAATCTCACTGAGATTAGCCAGATGCGCAGGAGATATTATAGTGCACAAGTGTACGCGCAGACAGAAGTACACTCGATTACTTTTATCCTCAAAGTCAGATAGGACAATACTTCAACACGAACCCGCCTGTGAGAGTTAAGGCACTGAACTGACGGCTTTACACGCAGTACGTCTCCAGGGCACGGGGTGAAACAACGCTAACATCCCAACTGCGGGCTACTACTGAGAATATCTTAAAAGAAAACTCAGTAGTTAAACTTGGCCTGTCCCGGGACTCTAATGTAACATGTCTCCAAGATCTTTTGATTTTAATCACTCTCGATAAATATTGTTTTATGTTTTAATGTTTTACTTTCATTTTGAAAGAATGCTTGGTTGGGCCAATATAATTACTGAGTCTTGCTATCATGAAATACTTAGTGGCAGTTATGTAGTCGACATTGTACTACATCTCTCATCAAACTGCCCTAACATCGGAATATGAGAGTGAAAGAAATAGAGGGTGCACTTGTGTCTAGGCACACAGGTGTGCACTATATAATATGTCCCGTACAGTCTACCAAAACCAAAATCAAAATCAATTAAAACATTATTCTCCCTGTATACTATTTTTTTACAATAAATTAATTACCTAGATATCAGATATCCTTTACTTTTGACATATCTACCCGCGTAGCCCATGATATGAGCTCCAAGAGAGTATCCAATAAGATGTAAACTCGGTAAGTAGAATCCAGCATCTTGCAACTTTATAATTGCTTCTCCCAATTTCCTACCAACCTAAAAGAGGATCAGTTTGTTTTAAGACACGAAGACATACATACATATAGCAAGGCTTGCAGCAAGTGCAGAATATGTATATATGTTTCCAGCTGCATAATACCATGTTCCTTTGTCAACTTGTTTACACTTTTTTCGTTCACTTTTTACTTAGTCGAGTTTTTTTTGAACTGTTTTTTTTTCTATACAGCTTTTTAATATTGTACATTTAAAATTTATTTTGCAATTAATAATGTTAAATTATTTTTAAGCATAATACAAATTGTAAACATTTTTGTGAGCTTAAAAACCTTCATTTTGTTACCAAAAATTTAAGGCTAAGAAGACAAGACACAAATTGGCGTTTGAAATCCGCCATATTATTATATATATTTTTCAATAATTTCCAGAATATATTCTTTGACACTTGGACAATTAAGACGGATTTAATAACTTATCAGTCATCAAAATCGGTTAAGTCATCTGTTAATAATTGGGTAAATAGGATTGGTTTCATATAAACATACAGGTCAAACACAGCTCTCTTTCGCGCAGTCATGTAATTAAAATACCTGTTTTACATTAACATCAATAGTTCGATACGAAGCTAGTCCCAGTATTGGGATGTCAGTTTCTACTTCCCAGTTTAGTAGAAGTATATTGACGTCAAATTCTAAATAGACTCCTGTAATTCTCTGAACATCGGGAGAGTCAGTATTTTCTTCGAAACCGAACGTATATATGGTGGTATTTCTTTTGGAATCAAAACCACCTGCGTTCAAAAGAGGTGTGGGATCATCAAGGGATATTACAGTGAACTTGTTTATAGACCTGAAAAAAGTTGGTTAATTTATGATGTCTCTAATTTTGTATTTTATCAATCTTAAGCCATGTATGGGATTTCGACGTCTTATCAATCATTATTTACAAGTTTAGGTGACAACACAAGTTTATATTTTATTTATTCTTTATTGAATATCATCAAAGATATACTTATTTTTCTTTTTAAACTATACAATGTTATTTTACAATATTTATAGTGTACTCCTAAACTGAAGTTAACTGTATTTAACATATTATAATATATCTGTATTCAAAATATTCTTACCCATCGTAACATCTTAGATCTGCGCCATGCATAAAGTAAGCATTACCTGAAATTAGGAAACAGATATTTTTAATTTGTTCCTTTATTTGATACACGAGAAGTCGCAAGTTTGATTCCGTATTTACTTCTGTAATATATGCCAAATATATGCATACGTGTCTAACCTAGCATATTTCATCAGATATTATATAATATACGCCACTTCATTGGCTTGGCTTCTCTAGGCATATATGTATATGTATGCGTGTGGTATGCGTAAATGCAATTCCCAGCGTAAAAAGAAGGAAAATAGCCTGAAGCCATAATTAGAATTATAATCTACTAATATAGATACCACATCCTATAAAATCACTCTGATTTGCACTATTCTTGCTATTGCTTCGAATATGTTAGTGGCGCCATCTATGAATACGGAGTATGAACAAACTCACGAACGACTTTCAATATTATCAGTAAAATTGAAAAATTACAGAAGGAATCTATAGCAATTTGTTACATAATACAACTAGATATTGAAATACATTTTTCATTCTTCCTAATGAGACCACATGCTAAAATTAAAAATATAAAAATGCCTTACCTACCAAGTAAAATGGCTAGTATCAAAAGGATTTGCTCACACATTCGCATGATTCGTATACGAGTACAATGACTGATAGTGAACTAATTTAACGTAGAAATTAACAGCGTATTTTATATTATATATTTTTAGTCTAATTAATTATGTATTCTACTATGGTTTTTAGTGCTTGGTCAAGTGTGAGTGGAATCATAGCAGTAAAGTTCTGCTTTTATAACCTGCATAATTTACATTCATGGCATTATTTGGCAATATTTTGTTTATGTCTTTGTGTAGTTCTTAGATAGATTAGAATTTTAATACTTAAGAAAGAACAGTGATTTTATAAATAAATGGATTGTTAAATATGATTAATAGAAAATTATATTTCTATGGCGTAATGGTATAAAATAATACAACATAAGTTAAATATTTCCTAATTATTATTCATCAGCGCCATCAGCCAGATAATAATACAATAAACTACAGTGGATCAGGGAATACACATTCATATTGGTAATTAGTTTCCTGAAGCGATATCGAAAACAACAACAACAAAACAGCAACATAAAGGTCCACTATAAATAAAATTAATCTTATGTACTTTTCTCGAAAACTAGTGTCAAAAAAATTGAAAATTTATGGGACCACCTCGGAACCTACCTTAATAGAATACAGTTTAAAGTAACTAAACTGGTTAAGCTGCCTTCGATAAATCGGTGAACATACCTTGTCTTACAAGTCGGTTAAACAAGGCTCTAAAATCCAATACTAACGTATTGGGCTTATGAAATCAAACTAAAAAAGTCCACATTCAAACTATTTACTAAGAGCTGTTGAAGAGTTCCACAAACCATCAGATCTGCTCCAAGATATCGGTCCGTATCATTATAGCACCTAAATTTGATGGAATAAACTGTTTTCAAAGAGACATTGCGATAACTATACAAAAGGTCAGGGTATTCCGGCAATTGGCCAGCGTGGAGTTGTTAGAAATTGATATGTGTAATAACAATCATAAACTCTCTGTACTTAGTGTCAAAGTATTGACCAATTACTAAAAATCACTGACCATTTATGACCATTTCGTGACCAATTTGGATCACTTTTTATGACGCTAAATTTCATCTTTTGGGCCGTCAAATTGATAGAGCTGACATCCATAGTATTATTTTATTCATCCATTTCCTTTATCTTGCTATTATCAAAATTATCTGTTTCTCTAAATATTTTAATTACACTTTTAATTATATGTAAATTAACAGTTCATGATAAATATTAATACCTTTTAGAGATCATTGGAAATAAAAATAATAAATGAACCTTTTCTATACTTATATTATAAATGTGTAAGTTTATAAGGATGGATGGATGGATGTTTGTTATTCTTTCACGCCACAACGGCTGAAACAATCTGAATGAATTGTATGGATTTGAGACAGAGATAGATTAAGTATAGGCTTTTTATTTCGGGACAGATTAAAAAAATTAAAACAAGATACAAGTTATGAAAAAGTGTTTTCTGCTTATCTTTAAAAAAGCTTTTTTCAAATTATTTATTCACCCTTTAAAATAGGGTTGATTTCTTTTATTTATAGTGGACCTTAAGTTTTGTTAGTTGTTTTCGATATCACTTTACGAAACTATTTACCAATACGAATGTGTATCAGGAGCATTGTAGTTAATTATATTATTATCTGGCTGATGGCTTATGTTGTATTATTTTATACCATTACACTGTAGAAATATAATTTTCTGTTAATCATATATAACAATCCATGTATTTATAAAATCACTGTTCTTTCTCATGTATTAAAACTCTATTCTATCTATATCTATGTATTAAATTTCTATCTCAGAACAAAGAAATGAACAAAGTATTGCGAAATAATGCTATGAATGTAAAATATGGAGTTTATTACAGCAGAACCTTACTGGTATATTTACATTCGGAGTTGACAGAACACTAAAAACTATAGTAGAATAAATAATTAATTAGACTCAAAATATATTATATAAAATACGCTGTTAAATTCTACGTTAATTACTTCACTATCAGTCATTGTATACGAATCATGAGAATGTTTCAGCAAATCCTATTGATACAGCTGGCCATTTTAGTTGGTAGATAATTAAACTAAACTTTAATCATATTTGGAATATCATATTATCAATTTTTAATGTATTCTTACAAAAAGGTAGTTATTTTTGTCGGCATCGCTATCTCTAATAGTATTAGCTTTAGATAAAAAAATATTGCCTTAAGGAACAGTATAATACATTAAACTAAATGTACTCGTATCAGAAAGTACGACGACAGGTATGGATACCTTAAAATTACTTCTATTTGCCTGTGGCTCTTTCCTTCGTTAAAATATTTTCCTTCTTGCTTTTCAAAGTTATTGAACAGAATCAGCTTCAAAACTAAATAATTGTGCCATAAAACGGAGTCGAGACATGGACACTCATGGTGCGATTGGTCCACCAGTTTAAGGTTGCTCAGCGTCTTATGGAGAGGTATATGCTCGGAGTTTCTCTGAAGGACCGGATCTGAAATGAAGAGATCCGACAGAGAACCAAAGTTATGGATATAGCCCAAACAAATGACGACACGTTCGACTCAGTTAATAGTGACCCTACTCGCTATTCCAGCGGTTGCGGGTTCGAATCCTGCTGGTGGCATTCATTTCTGTCATGAGCACGATTTTTTGTACTCCAGTCATAGATGTTTACATTTATAATATGTATGTATTTACATATAAAGTTGTATATGTGTAGTGTTTCAGTTTCGATGGTTATTTTTTATTATATGAAAGGTAGGTATGTAAGTAGTAAAATTTTAAGTTCATAAAAATTTGCTGAAGATCTGATGAGGACCCTCAGCGTGATAAGCAGAATAGCTCCTCAAAATGCAGTTTGTCCTCGTGAGGACTACTGTTTGCAGAACTACTAGTTTTAATAATACGAGTTGTCTTGCCTTAAGCATATTTGTCATGTATTGAGTATTCAATATTATGTTCACAATTATTATGCACGAAACGACCACGGTTTTGTCGTGTTCTTACTGGGATGAGCTTACAAAAGTTCTCAAAACAAAAATCAATGGCAATGCGACATGGGATTTAGCAAAACCTATTTTGATATTTTACATTTCGTATCTGTAATATATAAACATAGTCTCCTCGATACTCACTCATGCGTGATCTGAAAGTACTTCGATATAAATTCGTTGTATTTTTAACAAAATTTTATTACCTTCAAAATGAAGTCAATTTTAATCTTCTTTTGTATTATTGATTTTTATTTTTGTATACATATATGTGAAATTAAGACAATACAATATTTTTACCGTCGATCAGATAGAATGATGAGAAATAAAAATATATTTATTGGCGGTTATACGAACACGCATACAATACAGGCTACCCTTTGTCTGGAGGTGATGTACTCTGATGAGTATCCTGATGGATACGATACTTCATATTATTATTATAAGATAAGAGCTGCGAGTACCTATAGTTCCACTGTATATGTAGTTTAAAATTAAAATACCAGTAATATATACATGTATATTTTATATACTAGCACTGCCCGCGGCTCCGCCCGCCCGCATCTTACAATACAATTTTTGTATTTTTTCTCAGAAATGAGATATTTTCCCGCGATAAAAAATATATATTGATCCTATATGTTGATCCGGATAATCAGCTATCACCATACCAAATTTAATCAAAGTCCCTCCAGTGGTTATTAAATAAAACTATCTTTTCGGATTATTTCGCGGATTTATTTTGATTTTTGGTTTCCGACGTTTCGAATGCTTTACAGCATCCATGGTCACGGGAGAGACTGAGGTGTTACATGTCTCAAAGATATAGTTGTTACAGACAGCCTACCCACAATTAACAAAATGAAAATTGCACCAATTACATTACAATATTTTAACTTTAAATATTTTTATAATTTTAATTATAATTGAATATGGAAAATTGTTTGTTGTTGTTGTTGTAAGCATTCGAAACGTCGGGAACCAAAAATCAAAGTAAATCCGCGAAATAATCCGAAAAGATAGTTTTATTTAATAATGTCAAATGTTCGCGTAAATCTAAGAAAGTATTATCCCTCCAGTGGTTTTTCTGTGATGCGGTAACAGACAGACAGACAGACAGACAGACAAAAATTCTAAAAACTATAGATTCGGCCTCTGTATCGATAATAATGTCTCTTTCAATAAGATTTTCCAAAAAATATTCAATGTACAGATTCGGCTTAGTTACAATTTTATTATATGTATAGATTATCTAAGAAAAATCCATTACAAGAAAAAAGTTTTGAATAAATAGCTATATATGTAAATTATTAAGTAGTTGACACCGAGTTAATCTGAAAAACTACAAACGATAAACAAACCGGCACTACAAGAATAGGATATCATGTTATATGAATTCGTTTACAATTAAGTATGATAATTTATTATAAGGTTTGCATTAAACGCTTAATTATAGCAACGATTATAATTTGCTATAGGATCTACCGTATCGTAAAGATCGCGGACTTTCTTCTGTCCTGGAGGAAATTTAGTTGGCGAGTTTGGCATTGGCAAAGCTATCTGTGCTCAACTGGCATGCTTTGAAGCCATTAAAAAGAGAATTGAATTGAACATGCGTTTAAGTGTTATCTGTACTAAATCATGACAAATTATTAAATATAATGAGTTTGAAATAGTTATCATATTTATTTATTTATTTTAAAATTCCTATTCGTAAGCGATTGTAGAACATCATCTTCCATTATACTCATAGTAGAAGAGCCCATGACGCTAAATGGGGATTTACTCGAGCCTCATGGGGACCTATTACATTTTGAAGATTAGATGGTTTCATGGCACCCTTTCACTGGTGGGATTTGGGGTCGATTTGGACGTGACGTAAGGACGCAAGGCGTCATATTGTTTTTTTGAAAATGCAATAAGAATCGTTATCTTGAAATACTAGAACGCGTCAGATTATTATACACACGCAGAGTGGAGAATACATGCTTCTGCAACTGTTCTAAACTTTATGGATGATTTTTGGGCCGTTTGTGAGTTACTAATGAGCTAACGTGGCATATTACTATATATTTAATGTGATATCCAATCTTTCTCTTGAAGACTGTTATATTAAAGACTGATTGACATATTGTATCGTATAATTATGTATGCACTTTTAAAATATGTAAATTATAATGATAAGCGAACGAAAAAGTTCGTTTAGCTCCAATGTATTATTATTGATTGTAAATCCAATTTCACTAAGTATCTGCCAATAGCCAAGTGCGCAGTCTATGATGTCTTTCACATGGTTGGTATTAAACTTAAATGTATCATAGAATATTATTTTTAACCTTCTACCTTGTGTATGAATGAAATTCATAGAATAAAATACTTAAAATTCTACTTGAAAAGATTTTCAAGTAGAAGTAATTAAAAGATTTTAAAGTACTTGCTTAATGAAAGATTTGTTTCTCATCAAATACAATAATCCCATTTTGCTGTAAACATCAAATGAAACAAAGACTAAGCAATATTATTATAATCAGTCAACTCATTCGAAAATTTATAAAACACCATCGTCGTTTACAACTTCTGCAGGCTTCGTACCAACATATCCCAGTCCATATGGAGAATTTGAATTTGTTCTCAGATAAAATCTACCTTTTGCTCTGAAAATGATATTAATTATAAAATGTTTTATGCAGATAAATTAACCACTAAAATTTAAAGCTATATATTTTTTAATATTGATCTAAAAAGGTACACTTCAAATCACATATTTACTGCACAAAAATTCTGCATTTGCCGAGTATTAAGTGGCAACCAGTAAAACGACGCGTAGAACTGTTTGGGACTGAGTGAAGCGAGAGCTGATCGTAGTAAAATTGTTTTTTTTTAATATAATATTTTCAAAAGAAAATAATGTCTTTATAATTTTTTTACCAAATAGTTGATATAAAACTTATAATATTGATTAAATATAAAATTATTATTTATGAATTTTTCCAATAATAAATTGGAAAAATTCGCAAAACTAACAAAATCCACAAAAAATATACTCTTGGGGCATGGTCAAGATGTATGTGTGTATATGGTCCACAATAGCTGAAGAATAGTTTTTTTTTAAATTGTCTTAAAAAGATAATCTTGTTTAAATAATGAATAATATATTTATTACCTTATGTTATAGAATTTTAATTTTAATTACCCATCACATTTTTTTTTCATTTCTAGTATTCTTTAACGATTGTAGTAATTACATCTTGCTTTCAGCCTCTTGGCTGTTATCAAAGTATAAGTATATCCGCTTACGTTCTATCTATATCATCTCCCATGTAAATAATCTGGTCAGTTCCCTCCCCTGCCTTCCAGCTGTAACAACTCGCGGCTTCTCTCGCGGGGAAAGAAAATGGTTCTTCTAAAAATAGTGCGAAGTTTCTCCATGCACTATTGTGACTGCAGCCATCTAAATAGATTAGTTCATCAAATTTTTATAAATGAAATTTACATGTAGATACTCGTAACAGCTGTACTGAACATCATATATTAAAATATTTAGAAAAAAATCAAAGGAACATATTAAATATCAAAGGTATATTTTTATCTTGGTAAAGGGCATTTATAGGATATTTAATTTCCATCCTATAATTTATTGCTTTATTTTATTCTTTGCATAAATAACTAACTAAGCATAACACGCAAAAATGAATTATTTAATTTGAAAATTTACCTCTTGTTGGCTTCATTATAATGCTGTTGTTTTCACAGCCTGGTTGCACACTTTGTCCGCAGTTTGGCCATATGTCAACGGTACCTAAATTTTCACTCGTGCCCAAACGTCCAGGGTTACCGTGTATGATATCTACGAAAGAGGCGGTGGAAGAGTCCAAACCAGGAAATGATATTAGGCCATCGTAGAGAGGACCAGCTGGATCTAAACCTGTAATTCTATTGTTAAAAGTGTTAAAAATTGATTTATTTACGCGTATTTTCAAAGTTTTTCTTGTTAAAAACAATTAACTTAGCTATGAGTTAGTTCATTAAAATAGATACTTTATAAATAAAAATAAAAGACGTCCTCGTGGCCGATTCCAGTCACGGCGGCCAATCTCATTGAGATGAGCCAGGTAGGAGATATTATAGTGCACAAGTGTATGAGCAGACGCAACGTGCATTGTCTATTTTTTTTACTCTCAAAGTCCGATGGGACGATACTTCGACACCACCGGTGAAAATTAAGGTGCAGGATCGACGGCTTTACGTGCTCTTCGAGGCACGGGCGAGAGACACCGCCAACTTCCTAACTGCGGGCTAGTATTGACAATATCTTAACAGAAATACTCAGTGGTTCATTTGGCCCGACACTGGACTTGAACCAAGAACCTCCATATCTGCAGCCGCATATGCTATCTACTAGACCACCGAGGTAGCTAAGAGATACTTTATACAAAGCATAATCAATGTGACATATCTCTAAGATCTTATGATTTGAATTATCCTCAATAGGTGTTGTTTTAATATTTTACTCTTATTTGTTGGAAGAATACCTCGTTGGGTCAATATAATTACTGATCATCAGTAGCAATCAACCATCGGAATATGAGAATATGAGAGTGAAGGAAATAGGGGGTGCACTTGTATCTACGCACACAGGTGTACACTATATAATATGTCCTGCACAGTCGGCTAATCTCAGTGAAATTGCCATAACCCGAATCAATTAGAACATTATTCTCCCTGTATATTTGTTTTAATTTAACAATAAATTAATTACCTAGATATCAGATATCCTTTACTTTTGACATATCTACCCGCGTAGCCCATGACATGAGCTCCAAGAGAGAATCCAATAAGATGTAAACTCGGTAAGTAGAATCCAGCATCTTGCAACTTTATAATTGCTTCTCCCAATTTCCTACCAACCTAAAAGTGTAAAATATAAACAAGCTTAAGACACGAAGACAAACATACTTGTAGCAACGCTCACAGCAAGGATATGTGAAATATGTATGTATATTTCTGACATGCATAATATATACCATGGTTTACTGTTGTTACACTGTTTTCGTTTACTTTTCAATCGACTTCAAAAAGGAGGAGGTTCTCAATTCGGCTGTATTTTTTTATGTTTGATACCTCAGAACTCCGTCATTTATTAACTGATTTTGACAATTTTTATTTTGTTTGAAAGTATATACTTCGAGATTGGACCCATTTAAATTTGAAAAAAAAACACCACCTAAGGGTGGAAAAACCCTTAAGAGGGTGGAAAAATGAAAATGTTGCCTACTTCTAATGGTCATATTGAAATGAAACTTTGCAACTATTTTTATTGCCGTTGACAATCCAGTGATTCGCTATCGTCTAACTAATCTAATGGTAAGGCCAGAAGTTGGATAGATGGAATTATTCAACGGCATATAGTAGATACTTTGACTTTGGGTTTATTTTGTTTGATTTGACAAACCTAATACGTAAGAATTGGATTTAAGAGCCTGATTTTTAGTGTCATTTATAAAAGCGAATTTTAGTTTGTCAGTCTTCATATAAAAATTAGCATCAAACTAACTTGAACGGCTTAAGCGAATATTTTATGACATACTTTCTTCTTACATTGCTACTATTATCTCTACACTAAAATTGGAAAAATAAAAACTTAAAAAAATAAATAAAAATCAACTTAAAAAAAACTCTAAATAGTAAAAAGTAACTGATTGGTAGTTTTCATTTACTACAGATACCTTATCAGATATTTTCGAAGTCAGTGCCAGCTGATACAAATCAAAGAACATCGACTTGGAAAATATATATTTTATAAGTTTTTATTACGCAATCGACTTTTTTTTAATTCTACAAACTATTTTTTTATTTACAGCTCTTTAAATTTAAACAGTTACACATTAGAAATTTATTTAACAAAAGAAATAAAAATTTTTATGTAATTTTATTATTTCTTTTGTTTATAATATGTAACATAATACTGTTTGTCTTCCAAATAAATAAATAAATAAATCTACTTTTTATTATTAAATTATTTTTAAACATAATATAAATTGAATACGTTTTTATGATAATACTTTCTTAGATTTACGCGAATATTTGACATTTTAAATAAAACTATCTTTTCGGATTTTGTCGCGGATTTATTTGGATTTTTGTTTCCCGACGTTTCGAATGCTTTACAGCATCCATGGTCACGGGAGAGACTGAGGTGTTACATGTCTTGAATGTATAGTTGTTACAGACAGCCTACCCACAATTAACAAAATGAAAATTGCACCAATTACATTACAATATTTTTTAACTTTAAACATTTTTATAATTTTAATTATAATTGAATATGGAAAATTATTTATTTAATTTTGCTATTATTTTTATAATTATTACAATTTTAAAATATTAATTAGTAATCTATATTTAGTGTTGCCATTATTATATTTATAACCATAAAGAAAAATATAAAATGAAGTATTAATTATTAAAGCCATATAATTGTTCTATGTGTAATTTAAAAAGTTAAAATTAATTAAGGATAATAATTTTAATTTATTTTGCTATTATTTAAAAACAACTTACTAAGCAACACTATTAATATATACTTTTACAAATGAAAAATGAAAAATATTAGTCTGATAAGCTGTCATTTTGATCTACACAGTATGAACTTACTACATCTGCCTGTCTGTTATGTTTATATTTATTATTTGATTTTATTATATTAATAACAGGATCCCATGACGATGGTAGTACCCAGCCATCTTCCCTATTGAAATTAGGATGTTTTTTAATTTCTATGGCTTCTCGAATCATTCTAGGGCGATATCGGTTTTCTTTCGCCAGGATCTACTGCCGCCGTGATCTACGCAGTAACGACCGGTACGTAGAACAAACGTCCCTTAATATAAAGACAGTATTGACACCAAGTGATTTCAATGATTGCATTGAAACTTTAAATAAGCGCGAAACATCTAAATTTAACCAATGCAAAAACAAACATATATTAAAATACCAAAAATTAGTCGAGAAATATAACATCAAAAAGAAAACCAAAAACAATAACGGAACGCGCCCGTCTACCACAGTTTCAAATTCGTGCGTACGTCAAGCAGTTGTCAATCTGTCAAAACAAACATTGGACGAATCTACTATTCAAGTACTAAGTAAAGGCTTAAATTTTGCTGTTGCGCCGACACGCATCCCTTATGAGAACATTATTTGTGCGGTTGAAGATGCCCTGGCCAAAAATACTATGAAATCTGAGGATATGGAGGCCATACGTCAAGATGTTTCATCTTTGTTACGTCGTAGTTCAAGGCCCAAACCTAATCTCAACAAACAACAGTATTTAGCGTTGAAGAACTTACGCAGCAGGTCAGACATTATCATACTACGCGCAGACAAGGGAAATGCCACCGTCGTGATGGATACATTAGATTACAATGAGAAAATTAAACAACTTTTGTCGGATGAAAGTACATATAAAAAGGTCAAAACAGACCCAACCACCACTGTGTTAAATAATACTAAAAAGCTGATTAAGAAACACTCCGATGCATTGAATCTTGATGTCAAAATCTTGTTCCATCTTGTGCAAAGCCGCCTAAACTGTATGGACTTCCAAAGATACACAAACCTAACGCTCCGCTACGTCCAATTGTGAGTCAAATCGACACACCGACTTATAAATTGGCCCAACTAGTAGCGAAAGTACTCTCAACACTCAGAGGACAAACATCAGCGTTCACAAGGGACTCGTACCATTTTGTCAATGAGATAAAACACCTACAACTCATGGACAATGAAACTATGGTCAGTTTTGATGTACAGTCTCTATTCACCAGCCTACCAGTAGAGGACTGTGTCAAAATAGTATCAAGAAAGCTACGGGATAATAGTATGCAAGAAGAATACACTGAACTTTTGAAACACTGCCTTACATCTGGCTATCTATTGTGGAATGATGAATTCTACAAGCAAGTGGATGGAGTGGCCATGGGTTCGCCGGTCTCTCCCGTTGTAGCTGACATCTTCATGGAGGCCTTCGAGGAGACCGCCCTAAAAACATCACCTGTGACCCCTCGTTTCTACAAGCGGTATGTAGATGACACTTTCACAATATTACCATCTGATAAAATATCTGTATTCTTAGAACATCTTAACTCCATAAACCCTAAAATACAATTTACAATGGAATTGGAGTCTAATAATTCTTTAGCTTTCTTAGATGTATTAGTTATACGTAACCCAGATAACACCTTAAGTCATACTGTGTATCGAAAGAAGACCCATACTGATAGGTACTTGAATGGTGAATCTCACCACCACCCTTCACAGTTAGCTACCGTGGGAAAATCTTTGTTTCAGAGGGCACGCGGGATCTGTGACGAGCAACACCTGGCCGGAGAGCTGCAACATGTCAAGCAAGTTCTGCGAGACAACAAGCTGCAAGTGCCGCGCCTACGTCACAGGGACCGAGTGAAACCAGCCACAGTCGAGCGCGTCCCTGCAGTCCTACCTTACATGAGAGGCGTCACTGACAAGATTGGCTACATTCTAAAGCGAGCTTCAATTAAAACTTACTTCAAGCCGCCAAAGAAAATTAGTCAGTTTCTACCACCTGTCAAGTGCCACATCCCTCTACAAGATGCAGGAGTTTACAAGCTTGATTGTGATTGTGGGCTCTCTTACATCGGACAAACAAAGAGATCCATTAGAACCCGGGTCAAAGAACACATAGCTGATGTGAAGCACCGTCGCAATACAACATCTGCTGTCTGCAAACATAGTCAGGACCGCCCAAGCCATTATATTCGCTTCGATAGACCTCAAATCCTGGCGAAAGAAAACCGATATCGCCCTAGAATGATTCGAGAAGCCATAGAAATTAAAAAACATCCTAATTTCAATAGGGAAGATGGCTGGGTACTACCATCGTCATGGGATCCTGTTATTAATATAATAAAATCAAATAATAAATATAAACATAACAGACAGGCAGATGTAGTAAGTTCATACTGTGTAGATCAAAATGACAGCTTATCAGACTAATATTTTTCATTTTTCATTTGTAAAAGTATATATTAATAGTGTTGCTTAGTAAGTTGTTTTTAAATAATAGCAAAATAAATTAAAATTATTATCCTTAATTAATTTTAACTTTTTAAATTACACATAGAACAATTATATGGCTTTAATAATTAATACTTCATTTTATATTTTTCTTTATGGTTATAAATATAATAATGGCAACACTAAATATAGATTACTAATTAATATTTTAAAATTGTAATAATTATAAAAATAATAGCAAAATTAAATAAATAATTTTCCATATTCAATTATAATTAAAATTATAAAAATGTTTAAAGTTAAAAAATATTGTAATGTAATTGGTGCAATTTTCATTTTGTTAATTGTGGGTAGGCTGTCTGTAACAACTATACATTCAAGACATGTAACACCTCAGTCTCTCCCGTGACCATGGATGCTGTAAAGCATTCGAAACGTCGGGAAACAAAAATCCAAATAAATCCGCGACAAAATCCGAAAAGATAGTTTTATTTAAAACGTTTTTATGATCTTATAAACCTTCATTTTCTTACTGAAAATCATAGATTTAGATGACAAAATACAAATTGGCGTTTGAAATCCAGAATATATTCCTTGAAATTTGGACTATCAAGAGAAATTTAATAACTTGTAATTCACCAATTCGGTTAAGCTATCTGGTAATTATTGGGTACATAGGATTAGATTCATATATACATACAGATTAAACACAACTCTCTTTTGCGTAGTCGGGTAAATAAAATATACCTGTTTTACATTAAAAACTATGACTCCATACGAAGCTGGACCCAGTATTGGTATGTTTGCTTCTTCTTCCCAGTTTAGTAGAAGTATATTGACGTCAAATTTCAAATAGACTCCAATCATTCTCTGAACAGTGAAATCGGTAGCATTTTCCTGGAAACCGAACGTATATATGGTGGTTTTTCTGTTGGGATCAAAACCACTTGCGTTCAAAAGAGGTGTGGGGTCATCTAGGGATATTATAGTGAACTTGTTTATAGACCTGAAAAAAAGTTGGTTAATACAGGATATCTTTAATTTTGCATTGTATCAATCTTAAGCCATGTGTGGGATTCCAACGCTTCTTATCAACTATTATTCATAAGCTTGGGCGACAACACGTGCTTACATTTTATTTCTTTAAATACAAATTCTTTATTAAATATTGGTCCATCAAAGTTAACTTATTTTTGGACAAAATCTCAAATAGTTCTATCTCTCCTACTTGTAGTCCGATAGTTTTACCTTTTAATTAAGGCACGGAGGTGTGACTGATACGTAAACAAATTCTTTCACATTTATTGAGATAAAACCTACCGGAAAAGCTTTCCACTAGAGCTACTTCTGTAAGCTCCGGAAATACTTCCGGAAGTTTTATATTACAATATTTATAGGACCGGACCGTGCATCTAGACTTTTACGCCAACTAGTGGTAAGTACCTGAATCTATTAGGATCATTTTTCAATAATGTCAACGTCATGAAAAAACACTGACATTTCGATTCTTCAAGCATTCGATTCTTGAAACAATAATATTTTTATCATTATCCCGTGTTTTTTTAATTTGATTACATTAAGAGTTTTCAAATTATTATTTTTATACATACCATAATTTTCATAACATAAACATTTGACACACTCGTTTGTGGTAGACTTTTATTATTTTTTTCTACTACACTATAAGCATGGTTGGACTTGAATATTTTTTTATCTTTCTCATTATTCTGACACATAGTTAAAGTCCACATTTTATTTTATTTTTTCATTTTTATAAATATTCTGTGTGTACAAATAAATGATCCCACTATATTTAGGAATAAACCACTAGGGGACAATAGCGCCGTCCTTTACTATTCTGCGCACGGTCCCCATACTCCTAAATTAATATTATATCTGTATTTAAAATATTCTTACCCATCGTAGCATCTTAGACTTGCGGCATACATAAAGCAAGTATTACCTGAAATTAGGAAATGTTATTTTTAATTTTTTCATTTATTTTGTGCACAAGAAGTCGCAAGTTTGGTTCCAATCCAGCCGATGCAAAGCAAATCTAATATATTTCGATACGTAAAATATATATTTACCTATGAGATATTCATATCTTAAAATATTGTCGGCTGGCACCGACTTCGAAAATATCTGCTAAGTTTTTATTCTAAATGAAAACCCCCGTTTAGTTATTTTTTACAGTTTAGTGCCTGGTAGTCGGTTTTCTTTTTTTTTTTCAAGATTTTATTCTTCCATTTTTAGTGTAGACGTAGTAGGCAGGTAATTTGTGAGAAGAAAGTTTTTTAATAGCATATTTAATTAAACAATTTATTGAAAAGAAATATTGTTGATTTTTTAAAAAAACCGCTTGACCGATTTGGATAAAATTTATATTGGACCATCCGGAACGCCTTTGAAACAAAAAAAATCCAAATCGGCTCAGGCATCTTCGAGTAATCGGTGTAAATGAAAAAAAAAAGATTCCGACGAATTGAGAACCTCCTCCTTTTTGGAAGTCGGTTAAAAATATAAAAATGCTTACCTACCAAGTAAAATAGCTAGCTGCATCAAAAAGATTTGCTCACACATTCGCATGATTCGTATACAATGACTGATAGTGAAGTAATTTAATGTATAAATTAACAGCTTATTTTATATTAGATATTTTTAGTCTAATTAATTGTGTATTCATGTATTCTATTATTGTTTTTAATATTTGGTCAAGTGCGAATGGGATTATGCCAATAAGGTTCTGCTGTTATAACCTGCATAATTTACATTTGTGGCATAATTTGGAAATATTTTTATTTATCCGCCCGCGTTCCGATGACCTTACAATGCAGTTTTGTATTTTTTTTTGGTAAAAAGTATCCTATATGTTGACCCGGATAACCAGTTATCATCATACCAAATTTCATCAAAATCTGTCCAGTGGTTTCCTCGTGATGCGGTAACAGACAGACAGACAGACAGACAAAAATTCTAAAAACTATAGAACCGGACTCTGTATCGATAATTATGTCTATTTTAATTAGATTTCTCAAGAAATATTTAATGTACAGATTCGACTTAGTTACAATTTTATTATATGTATAGATTAAAAGAAAATTATATTTCTACGGCGTAATGGTATAAAATAATACAACATAAGTTAATTTTTTGCTAATTATTTTTCGTCAGCCATCAGCCAGATAATAATACTAGTACAATTAACTACGACGCCCTTGATCCACATTCATACCGGTAAGGAGTTTTGTAAAGAGATATCGAAAACTAACGTAAATAAAATTCATATTATTTTTCCTATCACTGTGCAGTGAGACTATTATATCTTTTATATCTAATTTATAATTTATAGAAAACTCTGAGGTCAGGAGTTAGGAAGAAAGGAATCACTAAATCAACCCTATTTTAAAGGGCGAAAACTAATGTAGAAAAATATTTTTAAAGGTCAACACAAAACCTTTTTTATAGTATTTTTTTTTTAGAAATAAAAATCAAGAAATATTGTAAGGTACTTTGGTGCCATTTTTGAATTTTAGAAATCATTGTAGTAAAATAGTGGGTAGGCACTGTCTATAACGCCTTTGAGACGTCTATAACCTTAGTCTCTCCCGTGACCATGATTGCTGTAAAAAATTCGTAAACGTCGGGAACCAAAAATCAAAATAAATAAATAAAAAAAAAAAAAAAAAAATAATAAAAAAAACTGCGAAATAATGCGAAAAGATAGTTTCATTTACAACTCTCGAATATTTGCGTAAATCTAAGAAAGTATTATTCTATAAAGCGGTAATAATATAGTATAGATAGGGTGCAACATTTACTACGTACGTCCAGACATTTAAATTCATTATCTTTCACATATATATGATATTGATAAGATCATTTTTCTAAGAGGATCTCCGTTTTTACGGATATTATTCATAATTTCATTAACTACTGACAACATCTGAGTAAATATTCATTGTGCAATTTACATGAAAATTTTCTTTCAAATTGACATCATAGGTATCGGTACGAGTAAACCATATAATATGTATTACAAGGACATTAAACAATTTTTAACTTCCGCTTTTTTGTGATTTCACAAAATATTTTTTAACACACTAATAAAGTACATGAACAGCATTAAATTTACACTAATAGAGATACTACAAAAAGAGTTTTAAAATTTTAGTATTTTAAATACTTTCACTTCTTTGGGTGACACGTTTGTCTCATTTTGAGTGCTACTTGCTGTACCAGCGGTCGCTACCGTGCGGGTTCGAGTCCCGCTGGGGGCATTCATTTGTGTGATGAGCACCAATGTTGCTACTCCAGTCATGAGTGTTTATATTTATAATATACATATGTATTTAAAGTTATCTATGTGTAGTGTATCAACTATCTGGTATCCGTAACACAGGCTTCGTAGCTTACCATGGACTAGATGGTCCTGTGTGTTAATGTCCCAATATATTTATTTATTATTTACTATAGCGTAAGTCTCACGTGGGATTGAAAGGGTAAATTAGAAAATTAATGAACTCCTCCTAAAGAAGATATGACAGTCATGTTTACGACTCATGTTTACTTATTAAAACTCCATAAAAACTTTTAATTAGAATGAGACGATAATCGGCGTGATACGAAAATTATTTGTGGAACAGGAAATTAAAAGTTATAGATTTTTAATAAACATAATGAGTGTGAGAAATCTTAAGAGTAAGATAATGGTGTTGCCACCCCTTTCGGTCTTTTTTTCGGAATCTTAAAAACCAGCGAAGAAAAAAACCTCGGGAATTAGCTTCGTCTATAACACTTGAGGCAACAAAGCCTTAAATAAATTTAATTTGTATTAATACACGATTTTCACAAAGATAATTACACCAATGCAGAGTGACTAAAAATCATTTAATTGCAATTCAATTCAATGGCAAATAGCTGTTTCTTTCCAAATAATGAATAGAATTCCAAAAAGATCAGGTTTATAATTAGTTTACACTATAAAATATACGTGTGTTATAAATAACATAATTTTATTAATACAAAGAGTCTGCCTCCGACTTATTTAGCATGACGTGTTGAGAATTATCAATACTTGTGTAGTGGTTGTGGAATGTGGACTATATAGAATACTATATAGTCCACGATCACTACACAAGCAAAAGCTAATGCAGCGTTCTTTTACTGAGAAATAGCTTAGTGTATTTCTATATTTGTATATCTTTAAAGTCGAATATGTTGTATTCATTGTACATTATATTATTTTAAAGAGTTCCTTCCTTTTTCAAAACTTTTTGAAGTGTCCTTACTGTGATGAGCTTACGAAAAAAAATCGGCATTTTACATTTGGTATTTGTAATAAAATATATCTGAGTTCATTTATTTGTGATACAAAAATATTTAAGTATTAATTAGTTTGTATTTTTAGCAAAATTTAATTATCCTCATTTGTATTAGCATATTTCTTGCTCATATCTTTAAAGTCAATTTTAATCTAATTCTGTACCTGATTTCTAATTATATATAAGTAGGAGAAACTCAGACAACACAATAATTTTAACCTATCTAGTTGATTGAATTATGCAGTCAGTTAGTGGAGTTTCATTTGATTTGTCTTTGGTCAAAAGCGTGTTTATTACTATCTTAAAACTAACATTATTTGTTAAGACTTGTTCATGTCAAAATACCCAGTGGTTAGACCCGTTGTTCTTGAGTACCTAATGATAATTTAACAGGTAGAGCACTTGGGCTTTTAATAGATTTAAAAAGTATAGGTAAGGTATATTAATCAATACTAATTATTAATCAATATATAAATTAGATTTCGTTAGAATTTTATAATGTACTAACGACTCACCCTCGCTTCGGTCGGGTTCGTCCCTAGATTGATTCCCCATACAAACTGTCATCCCCATTTTCACCCTCTTAAGGGATGATTTTCGAGATAAAAAGTATCTTGTGTCCTTTCCAAGGTCTCAAGCTATCTTCTTACCAAATTTCATCTAAATCGGCTTAGTAGATCCAGAGATTACCCCCTACAACGTCACAAACTCACAAACTTTAGCTCTTTATAATATTAGTATAGATATGTATGTATAAGATTCATATATGCTATGAGTATAAATATAAGTGTTCAATAATTCTCTTTGAAATGTGATCGTATCTCATTCATTAATAACTTTGCTCATTAGAATTTGTGTTACATGAATTCACCAATATTATGTTTACATGTTGTCGTGAAAGTGAGAAAACTTGAACAGTGTACGATTTCTCATAATCGGCTTACAACTTAAAATGTGAAAGTTTGTCAGTGTGTGGGTATAATCTATACAGATAAATAAAATTGAAGTGTCTGTTTGTAATGTCAAAATATTATATGTATATATGAAATTATATACGGTACTTATAAAGAAAAAAACAAATTTTAAAAGCATATTTATATTTATTTAACTAACTGACTAATAATAATAGCAATGATAATAAAAGCTCCTTCTTGTGCATATAAAAGAAGAAGAAAAAACAATAAAGTGGTAGAAAAATGCACAAGAGGCACTAAACCTACTTTATTTGATTTCCCCATTGTGCGCATACCTGTATGAAAAACAACGAAAACGTTCACGCCCAAATATATTAGCCATGTATGTATTCAGCCCTTTTTAACGTCCCACTGCTGGGCACGGGCCTCCCTTCAGTACGAGGGGAATCAGGCCATAGTCCACCACGCTGGCCAAGTGCGGGTTGGCGGGTTAGCCATGTATGATACAAGTAAAATACACACTATAACAGACAATAACCCAAAACCTCTCGTTTAAATATGAAACTGCGTCCTTCATTTTCATCAACAAGCAACAAAAATGCAATATTTACCACTCGTATTGTTTCTCTAATTGGAAAGCTGAGCATAACATGTTACAGCATATACCAAAATCGTTTAAACTTTAAAAGATAAAAAGTCCATTTAACTTTTTCAAATGTTAATATCAAATCCATGCATTTTGTTTGGAAAAAGAGACATT